TTAAGGAAAATTGCAATACAGCACTTCGTTAACCGGGTTAGTGAGTTTTAGAGCATTCATGTATCTGAAAAGTGGATTTTATGACAAAAGTTCTCTCCTTTCCAGCTACTGATTAAATAAATTGGTGTTCTTAGTTATAAAAGCAATTAGAATTGAAGTCACATTAGAAGGTTGCTGGGATCTGAAGGTAATGGCAGTAGTTTATTCTGTAACGTTAATTTAAATTGATAGAGTGGAAATACCGAAATGTAGGTAACAGCTACTGTTACCTACTTAAAAGCTTCCTAACAAAATAAAAGGCAACAGAAGTTAAGCAAAAGAGACTGCTGATCACTTAAACTGTGTCAAGAGCAGTGGTTCCCATCCTGTGATCCGCGGACCCCTGATGGTCCGCAATGGTCCTGTAGGGAGTCGATGGAAAGTTTAAAATAGAAATGTACAGAGCCTCTCACAGCCAACATGTCCTTCAGCCTGCATTGCTTCCTGTGGCTTGGGAAGCAGCGCAGGCTGAGAGACATGTAGGCTGCAGGCATAGCTATATTGTTGTCGGGGGGAGAGGGGGGGCTGTAAAATGTTAATAGATTGAAAAGGGGTCTGTATGCTTGAAAAGGTTGGGAGCTACTGCTCAATAGCACCCTGTTATGTGTTTAGCCTTTACACCTCTTGAATGAATTCAGTCTTACATACTTTGAATTACTATTCTCTCCCACCCCATCCCCTTCTAGGTTAAGCGATCAGAACACCTGCAAACATAGCTGAGAGCTCTTTTCATTTAGAATAGTACCAGACTTAATCTTCACTGTGGTTTGAGATCTGTTACTGCCTAGGATTTAATTTCAGCCATTTTTGTCTTTTTTTTTTTTTTTTAAACGCACACAACTTTATGGATTATACCTGTGCGATGACATGGGGTTTGACTGGTAGTATTCTTTGTGGTACTTGCTGCAGCATTCTCCCCTTCCCAGAAAATGGGGGGGAAGTGCAAATAGACACGTGTATACATATACCCAAAAAGCATCTATTGGAGATGGCAGCTGCCAACCTAGATTTTTTTTTTTAAGACCTCTATCTTGACTTTTATATTCTCAATGAATTTGATCAGATACAACATAGTCTCTTGTTACCAACCCCTTCATGCCATTCTCCTTCCAAGTTCCTTTTGGAAGTAGCATATTTTCTTGAGTGAGGGGCTCCATTCCTATTTGCAGCAGATGTTTAACTGTTCTCCTGTTAGCTGCCTTGTGAGGATTTCTGGGGATCATGGACTTAAGTCTGTCATTAAGAAATTTGAGCAGTTTTAAGAAATTTTATTTTGCTTTCTGGACAGTGACTAGTTCATGTTTGAGACACTTATTTCAGTCCTTGTGTGGACCACATTACACTTTTGTTTTTTAAATTATCTAAATAGATTTGAGACATCCGTTTGGGAGGTATGGGTTTAAAATTCCTGTCATCCATCCTCTTCAGCCCCTGAACAGCCATAGCTAACTTTGTGGGTGGGGAAAGAAATTCATCCTCTTTCGACTAACGGCTCGAAACAAGTGACTATATTATAAGTATTGGTATAAGTCTTTAAACTGAATATTCCATATTACAATTGTCATGCGTGGGGTATTAGGCAAAATCTTAATTATTTAGAGACATTGTATACTGAAATTTGCCTCCTTATTCTTAACTTAATGATAAAGCATTTTCTATGCCTTTTGTTCCCCTTTTTTTGAACAAGATATTCAGGGCATCCTTCGTGACTGCTTTGTTGGCTGGTCCTCCTCCCCACCCCCCCCAAAAAAGCAACAGTCTTCATTGTACATTCTGCTTCCTATCCAGATCATTAGATGCTTCATTTCTGTGTAGCACTGTGGGATAAAGAGAGCCTTAAAATACAGTCAATTTATAATACTTCGTTTAAAAATATGAGACTTGAAGTTTTTATCAGCATAAAATGATAACATCAGCAGCATTTCATTTCATGCTGAAAAGAGGCGGGGGAGGTGGATGATATTGAATCAGTCTCAAGAGTCTATGAAGGCTTTTAAGTAATGTATTCACTGTGACTTTGACTTACAGATCTTTCTATTCCCCGATGGCTTAATGATCCAATGGCTTGCAGCAAAGGCCTATTGCTCTTTGAGTTAAGCAGATTTGTTATTTAAATTATACTGGAAAGCCATGAAAAAGAGAGGAATTGCCTTTCCTTGGTTTACACTAGAAATCTACTGTATATTTGAGCAATTGTCTGTTTCAAGAAGTTCTCCTAAATTGTAAGAGCTAGGACTACCATATTTGTGTTATAGCTTCCTCTTATAACTTAAAACAAGGTAAGGATTTGGTTGTGCTAGGAAAATAGGATGTGTCTGGAATGGGATTGCTTCTCATAAAACCATACAGAGAAAAGACAGAATCACCAGGCCAGGTAAAAGGGGCTGGCTGGTGGTGCACCTCCCACTACTCAGCCACCTTTTAGGAGGAGATTGATGCTCTTCTCTCCCCTCTTTGTATGGGAACATTGCTGGATGTTCCCCTTAATCAGAGATTGAGGAAGAGGACAGTTTGTTGCAGTCCTCACTCTGTTTTGGGGAGTGCAGGAGGCAGATGAACCTGGACCTACTTCAGCTGTGGGGGGACATGCCCCCATTCCCTAGCTGTGCCCACTGGAGCTGCAACAGCCATGGAGATGCACTTCTTACTTGGTCCCAACCTGTTGCAGTGAGAGATGGCTTTCTCTCCAGGCCAGCATGCATACAAAATCTCTCACCCCCAGCCCAACCCAGAGTAGAGATTTACATGAAACGTGTATTTTCATTTTATTTTCCACAAAACAAAAATTGAGTTAGAACCCAAATAATACTGTGTGTGTGTGTGTGTGTGTGTGTGTGTGTGTGTGTGTATTTCTTTGCCAGTTCCTTTGAAAGTCTTTGTTTTCTAAGACTACTGCAATTCAGTAGTTAAACTAGAGCTCAGGGGGGTTCCCCCCCTTCCTATTTGCCGCATCATAGCCAGTGATAGATATGAAAAATGGGAAGATTTGAGAGAAGACCAATGTGTAAATGCTGGGTAGGCTTCTGTCACTGAACCTTACTTAGAAGGTCAGTCTCTCTGTGGCTAGTAGGATTTTCAAGCTAGGGGTCGTGACCCAGTGCTGCATCCTGGAATGTCAGGCACCAGGTCTGGTTGCTGCAGGGTGATCAGGTGACCAGTGGGGATGCTAGGGCAAGCTACCTGCCTGTCCTGCACCATGGACTGCACTGCAACCCAGAAGCAAGCTGGGCAGCAGGCCTGGCTCCTAGGTGCAGTGGGAGGGGAGAGCACACAGGGCTCTGTGCACTGTCTTGACCCCAGTACTAGGTCTGTGATCCCATTGGCTGGGAACTTGCTGCTGGTTGCTTCTGGGGCACAGCCTGGTCTGCAGTACCAGGAAAGGCAGGGAGCCTGCCTTAGCATCCCATCTGCATCATTGACCAGGAGCCACTCAAGGTAAGCCCCTGTTGCCCTAGCCCTGATCACTCCCCAAAGCTAGAGCCCCCTCCTACACTGCAAAGCTCTCATCCTCAGCCCCACCCGGAGCGCTCTCACATTCTAGTCCAATTATGTTGGGTCACCGGCATCAACAATTTTCTTCAACTAAGAGAAAGTTTGAATCCTACTGATTTAACCTATGAATCTCCTGTAAGGTGAGAGTGTTGTTCTCGACCCTTCAGACTTCTGCAAAGAGAAAAGGGAGAAGAGTCTCCATTGCTTTTTTTTCCCCCTCCCTTGCTTTTTGTTCTTTTGGTTTCTCTTTCCCCTAAACAGTTTCAGTACTACCTGCTTTCCCAAGCTACAATATGAAACAGACACTCTTAAGCAATGTTCTCCAGCCTCTTAGACTCAAGGTCACTTTTTGAATTTGAGAGCAACCCAGGATCTACCTTTCCCCTTCCCCAAACTCTGCCCTACTCACTCCATCCCTCTGCCTCTCCCCTGCCCTGCAAGATGGGGGGGGGGGGGGGGGTTGGGCCGGGGCAGAGTAGTGGAGTGCAAGACGGGGTAGTGGAAGAGAAATGCTGGTCCAGCATAAGTAGGCCGGCTGTACTACTCATGCTACTTCTGGGTTTAATGCTTCAGAGCCATTTAAAGAACCCGTTTGCTGAAGCGTGCAGCACTTACCTTGGGTAGCCTCAGCCTCACCTGGCTCTGGTCACTGCCCCTCTCCGCAGGCAGCGGTGCTTGCAGGTAGGGGCAGTGCATATAGACCTCTTGTGCCCCTCATGTCCCTAAGGCTGCAGGGGCATGCTGGCCACCTCTGGAAGCAGTGTGGGGCCAAAGCTTGCAGGGAGCCTGCCTGAGCAGCACCCCACTCCACCACCAGAGAACGGGTGAGAGTTTCCAGGATCAACTATATTATCATGATTAACTGGTTGGTGCCCACTATTAAGTTTTTCTGCTGTCTACAGAATTAAACTAACCTGAGGTGTTTTCTTTTAATTGTGCTGCAACTTGGCAATCCTCAACTGGCAGTAGAGGCGTTCAGGGTGAAGCTACAGCATTGTTGTGCACTAGTTTCCTGTTTGAAAGTTTATCTTTGCAATTATAAGGGCGGAAGTGAATGTACAGCGCTCAGCCTTTCCATTCATCAAAGATGAACAGGTAATAGAATTTTAACCACAAGGAGGGGGAGAAAATCTTAAGTTTTGTGTAGCTCAAAATCTTGTCTCTTTCAACAGAAGTCTATCCAATAACAGATCCACCTTGCTCTCCAAAACAAAAACAGCAAAGCTAATTCTGTGGTACTTAAGTGTTGTTGCAGCATGTACTTGGGGCCTTTTTGTGCTTATTCAGGCCTTAGTTGTCTTCAGATCCACTTAAATGGAAAACTGCCAATACATTTTGTATGAGAGGCCCAGAATTAATGTATAAAATCACAAAATTAACTTCTGAAATGTTTGCATTTGCTTTGAGTATTAAAGGTATTATGGAATAACACACAATTTACATAATCTTTATCATTTCTGTCTTTACAGGGGTACCAAAGTCCAATCTTCTTCACACAAGATCATTAAGGGGACACAAGGACTGCTTTGAAAAATTCCATTTAATAGCAAATCAGGACTGCCCACGATCAAAACTCTCCAAAAGTACCTATGCAGAAGTAAAAAGTATCTTGAGCAAAAAAATTAACTGGATTATTCAGTATGCACAAAACAAAGATTTGGATCCTGATTCTGGCAGCACAAAACCTTCTCAACACCAGCTATTCAATTTCAGACATCAGACAGACAGAAAACTGCTTCCACAGTTTGACTCCCAAGTACCCAGGTACTCTGCAAAATGGATAGGTGGAAATTCTGGAAGTGTCTCAAACTGTTCACAGAGTATTTTGGAACACAGAGAATCTACTGATTTCAGATTTGATATGTTGCAAGAAAGAGGAGCTACATTCTGTTGCAAGAGTGTTTTGTGGTCTAGTTGCAGCCAAGCACCAAAGACAGAAAAAGCTAAAAGTGATTCAGATGTCAGTGCCCAAAGACAACATTCCTGTTACAGCAGGGAAGAATGTAAGTAAAGGGGGAATTAAATGGGTATACTTCTGCTTCTTCCTATTTACTGTATACTCTGTAAAGCCAGCCATATGTAATCTCATTCTCCTACATAGCCTTAGTTAATACGTCTAGACTACAGGGAAGATTCAAAAGAGGATATGCAAATTCTGCGGGAACTTCTTGCATATCTTCTTCCAATCTCGCTTTCCTCAAAATATGATGTTTACGTGGCTTTTTGAAAAAGGGAGGGTTTGCTGAAAAAAATGCATCAAGATTACTTTCTCTTTCGAAAGTGAGATCGGAAGAAGATATGCAAATTCCTGCAGATACACAAAGTAGGTCTGGTTCTCTCCACTATTCGTTAGCATGAGGGGATGCTGTTGCAGGGGCATGGTGAACAGAGATCCTGCTTGCTTGATACAACACAGCTGATTACCCTCCCTGCCCTCCCCCAATGGAAGAGTGAGGTACATTGCACTTACGACATTCTGGTGTTTTCTGAGTGATGTGTATTCCTTGCTTTCTGTCGAGGAAAGAGCCCGGCAGGGATCTTGTACATTTCAAAAGAAGAATCGCAGTAGAAGTGGTGTGAGCAGAGACTGCTTCAGTCCCCAGTTGTGCCATCTCCCGCTGTGCCTCTACCTCCCCGGCCTCCTGCAGAGACGGTGCTGAGGTGAACCAGCTTTTAAGCTGGCTTCCTCAAGCACCGGCGCTTGCTCCCCCTCTCCACCCCGCTGCTTCTCTCTGATAGAGGCAGCAAGATGTGGGGGAAGTGACTAGTCTCATCACTAGTTGACTATCCAATAGTCAACTAGTCTCTTGCATCTCTATTCAACCCCTTTGATTTTTGTATCTGCCCTCTACAATGGTTAAGTTTTATTTGTAGCCCTGTTTGTAAACCTTATTTTGCTCTCCCATTCAGTCAGGCACATCTGACCCAATCTTCATTTGTCCCTGCAGTCTCCACACCTGCTGGCTCAATGTCATCTTACTACCTCCTGTTCTCCCACTAAACCTTCTGGACCTAGGTCTGTAAACCACTCCCACAAGCAGCCCTATGTGCTTGTTCTTCTATCCTTCTACATCCTGTGCCTCCTTATCTGGCCCTGCAAGCAGGACAGTGTGAGGAAGACCGCCTTTGTGTCCTCCTTTTCTGTGGCTGTCTGATTTGGCCCATGAGCCTGGTGCCACGTTAGCACCTAGTAGGCAAAAGGTGCAATTGTAGGAAGCCCTCTCAAGGCTTCCTTTCACCTCCCTGACAATTACATTATTCTGTGTGGAGGGGGAGGGAAGTTTTGGGGCATATTAATTCTGTGCTTGGGCGATGACCCAGAGTTCCCCTTGGACTAAAATTTGAAGCTGTCGGTAACTGACTGAAAGGAATCTTCTCCCTTGTCCAGAGACTCCTGACTGTTGTGCAATCCTCCTTTCCCCCTTCATGCTCTCTTCCCCCTGCACACACACACTTCCCACTGGCTACTAGAGTAAAGTGAAGCTCCAGTACTCCATCTTCCCATGCTTTTTTTTTCTTTGTCCTAGACTTCCAAAACTCCAGTCATCTGAAGAAGTGGGCTGTACCCACAAAAGCTCATTATACCATCTACATCTTTTGTTAGTCTATAAAGTGTTACCAGACTATTTGTTGTTTTTTCAGTTTATTTGTACAGACTAACTTGGCTACCCCTTGAAGCTTCTTTCCGTTTATGGGTTTTCTTTGCCTGTGAGGAACACAATAGTTGTATCTGCTACTCATTGTAACTGAATGCTGCTGCTATCACCAGAGAGTTGATTTCAGTCATTAAAAATGAGACAAGAATAAAATCCTCTTAATGCTCAGGCAATTTTATTCAGCCTAGGTTGATTTTTAACTTTGACTTACTTAAATTCTAGCGCTTGTTTGATCTTCTGAACAAGAACTCAGTAAATTGGTGCAGTGTGGTAAATCCTGGTGCAGCTGCTCATGGCTATGCCAAGTTGCAGCACAGTAGAAGCTTACCAAAATTTTCAAGTGTTTGCTGCTTCTATTCAGACACCTTATGGGGCTCTGTTCTAATGACCAGGATTGTCACTTTGAGGCCTCAGTCTATACTGTGATTTGTCGACCTGCATTACACAACTTCAGCTATGTGAATAACATAGCTGAAGTCAACATACCTAGGTCTGCTTACCTATGATGGCATGGTAAGTTGACCAGCTGATGCTGTCTTGTTTGCTCATTTGATGAAAGAGCTCTTTCAGTCACATTGATACCCCCGCTCCCCACTGGCACCAATCACTGTCTATGAGGCTTTCAGCGGTTCCCAATCTTTTCCAGATGGGGACCCATTTTGACAATTCAGGAGGACTTGGTGACCCATGGCAATTCAAAAACAGGGGGAAAGTGGGGGAGAGGAGGAGGCGGAGGCGCAGAGCCACCTGGGAAGACAGTTGGCGACCCTTTTGAAATGTGATGGTGACTCATATTTGGGTCTTGACCCATAGGTTGGGAAACCCTGCTTAATGAAGACATTCCCTTGCTCTGCTGCCTGGGAAATCTGAGCAGCAGCAGATCCTCCCCAGTCTGCTCTGCACTTGTGACAACATAAGGCTTGAGAGTAGTTGTGTGTGGGGGGGGTTGTCAGAAATTTACTAAGCTTTGTCCAAACTCTCCTTCCAATTGGAGCTGGGTTTGGCAGCACTGGTTTGTGGTTTTTTTGTTTGTTTGTTTTTGTTTTTAAATCCTTTCCTTTGTTTTTCCCCCATGTCCCTCCTTCCCTATGTAGCTTGACTTCCTGCAGAAAAGACACTCAAAATAATCATATTAACTACCAGCAATTTTCTGCAAGTTGGGCAGAAAATAGGAAACGGATAGCCTTCTGGAGCTTTTTTTTTTTTTTTTTGGTGCTTCAGAGAACTGTAGGGTGATAATAGTTTCTTTAATACATGTGGAATTTGAGCAAAAAAAAGACTTGGTTCTGTTCTGAGTTCCTGAAGATTGAAAAATGTTGCAATTGGGCTATTTGTGTACATCATAGGCCAACATCTCTCTTGAGAGACAACAGATGTTTTCTACCCTGAAGGTGTCATGACCAAGAAGCTTTTTCTGCAGAGTCACAAACTTCATAGCACTTCCTGTTCATGCGGCCACTCATTAAAAGTGAACATAAGCATCTAATTGTGGAGGCTTCTTAATGGAAGAGAACTGTTTTTTCTCAGTGGGGAGGTATGGGGGATGTTAATGTCACCCTGTAGTTGGACTGTATATACATTCTTGCAGCTTTAATTTTGGCACTTCCTAACATTGAATGCTTAACTCTTCAACTTTTAGTTCAGTATTTCTTTTTGTATGAAATACATGTTTGTCTTAGTGGCACATTTATCATGTTTCAGAGTCTTAAACATTGCTGCTGCTAATTAACATTAACACTGCTGTTAGTATCAGAGTGGTAGCCATATTAGTCTGAATCCGCAAAAGCAGCGAGGAGTCCTGTGGCACCTTACAGACTAACCGAAATGTTGGAGCATATGCTCTCGTGGGCAAAGTTGGGTCTTTGCCCATGAAAGCTTATGCTCCAACACTTCGGTTAGTCTATAAGGTGCCACAGGACTCCTCACTGCTATTTAGTATTAAGGGTCCAAATAAAAAAAAAAACTTGAGGAATAGGAATATTCATTAATGCTTTTTTTTAAGTGTTATACATGGTTTTTGTGATGGGTATTTTTTTTTCATGTTGCAGTGAATATGATGACTCTTGAAGAAGTAGAGCAACTGAATGAAAAACTCCTCAAGCAAATCCAGGGTGAGATCATTGTTAAACTTTAGTTATAGTGCAGAAACCCTAGGTTTTCTTAAATGATAAAGATTTGTAGTTTGTGAAGCTTAATTTTCAGAGCAGAGAAATACTGACTTTTTTTAATGCACTTATCCCCTGCTAAAAGCTCACTAAACCCAGAAGATGTGCTATTTCATTTGCTATAAGATATTTGTGTAAAAGTTCGAACTATATTTTAAAGTAGCAAGCCCATCTAGCTTAACTTTAAATAAATTTACAGATGAGTTAAATGGTATTCTTTTAAGCATCTCACTAATGGAGGTTGTATACCAAGAAGTATTGCAACTAAAAATATTTGAATGCTCTCCCATTTCATATATTTGCCTTTGTGCACATGTAAAACATCACACTCAAGTTTATCAAAATCAAGTTTAAGACTTCGTTTTCAAACAATGATTTTTAAACCAGACTGTTCCTTTAAATTGCATATTGAGCTGATATTAACCTTTTTGCAGATGTTTTTGAGGAACTGACTCGGCAAGTGCAAGAAAAGGATTCTTTGGCCTCAGAACTCAATGTCCGCCATATTGCTATTGAGCAGCTGCTTAAGAACTGTTCCAAATTGCCATGTCTACAGATGGGAAGAGCAGGGATGAAATCACAGCATGAATGAAATCACATGTCCCCATATAAATGGGATGAAGCTCCTACTAGTATTAATTAGGGATATTAGCAAACCTTAATTTTTGTAAATGTTCAGCAGTTACAAGTTTACATGCCGGATTGGGGGTGGTGGGGGGGGTAGTGGTGCAGGCTGGAGCCGGTGCTTGTGAGCAGCCAGCTTTGAAGTCAGCTTCCCTCATGTACCGCCCCCCCTGCTGTTGCCTCTATCTCCATGCTAGCCCAAGGGCACCTGTTCCTGTCCCTGCCTTGCTGCCTCTCATAGAGGCAGCAAAGATGGGAGGGGTGTGTGTTCATGTCATAGTTAGGATTAACTGATAAGACCAGGTGTATCAGTCAATCATATAAATGACTACATGCTAACATCCCTAGTATTAACTTAACAGTTTCATTACATAAACTCATTACATGCATAGACTTCTAGGAGCTTTGGGGGAGATTATTTTTTTTCCCTTCAAAATTAGATTCCAAAAGCTGTAACATACAACTGGTTTTATTTTAAAAATGCAAGTGTTTAAATATTAAGATCGGAGGGGAAGTAGTTCACTCTGGAAGTAGTTTTTCATGCACAATTGGCAGTGTCCCCTGAAGCAGGTGTCATGTCCTAGTGATACTGACAAGTGTTGAATAACAAAGAACAACCTGATGCCTGTAAATCTACCCGATTTAAAAAAAAAATCCAGAGCTTTACAAGAGCAGTGTTCATGAAATTTCTTATTTATTATGAGCAATATTTTATTATTGAAATTTTATAATGAATAAAAGTTACTATTTTAGGTACTTTTTCAGATCTCTTTATAAAATGTTTGAATGATTCTGTGTAACATTTATGCCTGGTGTATGTTATCTCTTATTATGCAGATGTTTTTAAAATCTGCTTTCTAAAGATCAGTTTATTTCCCATAAAATTTGTGATGGTGCATCACGTTTAGCAACTTTATACTTGAAGTTGATTTCATCAGGCATAGATTGCATCTTCTGGTAGAATAAACTGAAGCACAGCACCTCTTTTGAAAGTCCATATTTTGGTTTTAGTGTATGGAGTTGGTTTTGTATGTGTGAAATATTTTTGATGCTTAATAAAGATATATGACTTCAAAGAAACTAAATAAACCTGTAATACCTCATTAACTGTCTCAATACTAGTGTTTTAAAATATAATAGGAAATGGTTATAGGTGGTGGTATTTCTTCTTGGGCTAGATTCTCCTAGATATGCATACATTAGCCTCCCATTAATTTCAATGGGAGATAGCTGGTCAAATCTTTGGTCTGACTATTTGGCTCAGTATCTGGTTTTCTGACAGTTGTGGCCAATGTCAGGCACCCTTGAGGGAATTAACAGAATGAGTAATCAAGTGATCCATCCCATGTTGCCCATTCCCAATCCTAACAGAGGCTAGGGACCCCATCCGTGCCCATCCTGGCTAATAGCTATTGATGGTCCTATCCTCCATTTATGTAGTTCTTTTTTGAACCTTTTAAAGTCCTGGCCTTCACAGTATCCTCTGGCAGGGAGTTCCACTGGTTGACTGTGCATTGTGTGGTAAAATATTTTTTTTAAACCTATTGCCTATTAATTTCATTTGTCACTTCTAGTTCTTGTGTTATGGGAAGATATAAATAACTTTTACTTTCTCCATACTTGTCATGATTATATAGACCTCTATCATATCTCCCCTTAGTCTCTTTTCTAAGATGAAATAGCCCAGTCTTTTTAATCTCACACATTCCCTTCTTAATTCCCAACATTTTTTTTGATTGCCTCTGTATATTAAGTGAATGTTTACAGAGAACTGTCCTTCTTGAGTGATAACAGCTAATTTAAACCCCATCATTTTATATGTATAATTGGGATTATTGAATTTCATCTGCCATTTTTTTTACCCATTCACCCAATTTTGAGAGATCCTTTCGAAACTTTTGGCAGTCTGCTCTGGATTTAACTATCTTGAGCAATTTTGTATCTGCAAACTTTGCCACCTCACTGATTTATCAGAGGCCCACGAGTTACCTGTCTGCATTCTGAAAACTGACCATTTAGTCCTACCCTTCATTTCCCATATTTTAATCAGTTATCAGTTCTTGAGAAGATGTTCCGTCTTATCCCATGACAGTTTTTGTCTAAGAGCCTTTGTTGATGGACCTTTTTCAAAGGCTTTCTGGAAAGCTAGCTATACTGGATCCTCCTTGTCCACATGCTTGTTTGAACCCCCCACCAAAGAATTCTAGTAGATTGGTGCATGACTTTCCTTCATGAAAAACATGTTGATCCTTCCACAACAAATTGTTAATCTTTGTTCATTGTGTCTGACCATTCTATTCTTTACTATAGTTCAATCAATTTGCCTGGTAGTAAAATTATACACTTAACTGGGCTATAATTGCAAGGATCATCTCTGGAGCCTTTTTTAAAAATTGGTGGTGTTAGCTATCCTTTAGTCATTTGTACAGAAGCTGATTTAAGAAAGTTACAAGTTAAGTCAGTAAATTCTGCAGTTTCACATTTTAGTTCCTTCAGAACTTGGACGAATGCCATCTGGTCCTTGTGACTAATTACTGTTAAATTTAACAGTTTATTCCAAAACTACTTTTAGTGCCACCACACTCCGAATTACTGTTAAAATTAAGTTTATTCCAAAACTACTTTTAGTGCCACCACACTCCGGGACAGTTCCTAAGATTTGTCATATAAAAAGAATGGCTCAGGTTTAGGAATCTTTCTCCCATACTCAGTCATGGAAGACTGATGCAAAGAATTCATGTAGTTTATCGTCCTTGAGTGCTGCTTTAGCATCTTGATTGTCCAGGGGCCAGATACTGCCTAATTATATTTTCACACTTCATTTGCCAGAGTTTATGCTTTTCTATTTTCCTCACTAGGATGTAACTTCCACTTTTTAAACAATTCCTTTTTGGCTCACTGCTTTTTACTGGGTTAAGTCATGGTGGCATTTTTTTGGATCTTGATAGATTTTAATTTGGGGTATACATTTAAGTTGAGCCTCTATTAGTGTCCTTAGAAAAAGTTCCACATAACTTGCCAGGATTTCACTTTTGGTACAGTGCCTTTTAATATAACTCACCTCGTTTTTGTGTAGTTCCCCTTTCTGAAATGAAATGCTAGAGAGCTGAGCTTCTGTATCATTTTCTTCACAGCTAGGATGTTATAACTTATATTATGGTCTCTATTACAAAGTGGTGCAGCTATATTCACCTCTTGGACTAGATCCTTTGCCCTACTTAGACTAAATCAAGAATTGCTTTGCCTCTTGTGGGGTCTAAGACCAGCTTCTCCAAGAAGGAACCTTTTTAAGGTGTCCAGTAACTTTCTCTGCATCTTGTCCTCCGGTGATGTGTACCCAGTCAATATAGGAATAGTTGAAATCCCCCATTCTTACTGATACTTTCAAAATTTTTCTAGCTTCTTTAATCTCCCTTAGCAATTCGCTATCAGGGTTCTCTGTAAGTTGTGTGCCTGTGCAGGCATGCACCAAGAATTTCAGTCCTGCAGAGCCATGCAGCCGCAGCCCCAGCTGCTCCCAGGGGTGGGCCATGGGGGGAGGGGACTGGACTGATACTAAAAATAGCACTGCAACCCCAGCTCCAGCTGTGGCACACTGGGGGCATCCACCTTCCAGGCTGTGGCTGCTGGGGCCAGGACCATGGTACTAAAAATATCACCATGGCCCCAGCTTGAGTCCTGACACATGAGGCATGGTGCCCTGAGGAGCATAGATGGGCTGCTGTTGCTTCAGCCCTCTGGGAACCAGGGAAGAGGCAGTGGTGCACTGGTACCTGGGTTTGGCCTTATCTAGCCACTGAACCAGGTTTCTTTCTTCCCTGGGAGGTGCAAGGGCTAGTCCTGCGCTGTGCACCGCAGCCACCTCTCCATGTGCATTGGGGCCCCCTCCTCCCCGTATTCCCTTCTCTCAGCCCCTGCCCATCTCTTCATCCCTTCCTGTGGTCTTACCTTCTCTTCTCTTGGTCTCTGCTTAGTGGTAACAGCCTCAGTTTTTCAGCCCCATCTCCAGCACCCTGTGCTGGGGAGCTACAGCTCTGTGCCCAGAACTAGTTCTGAGGGAGGGAATAGATTCCCCAGGCTCTGTGAATCCATCAGCCTAGAGGCGGAGTGCGAGCTTCCAGCAAGCCCCAGCCTTCCAGCACAGCACCCCCCATTCCTGTGGGAGCCTCCTGCTAGCTAGGCAGGGCAGGGCAAGCAGAGGAGGGGGCACAGATATCAGGATGCCCCCTCTTGCACCCTATATTCTATCTCCACAGAAAAGGTGGGGACACAACAGGGCTTGGAATGGGGGGAGTTTTGAGAACAGTGCAAGGGCAGGGGTGATCCTGCCTCATTCCCATTGCACCACCACCCAGGAGCCACCTGAGGTAAGCAGTGTCTATCTGGAGCCTGCTCCAAACCCATACCCCAGTCATGAACCCCCTCCTGCACCCCAAACGCCTGCCCTAACCCTGAGCCCCCTGGACCCAAACTCCTTTACAGAGCCTGTACCCTGAACACTTCCCCTCTCGGGCACCCCAACTCCCTGCCCCTGGCTGAGCTCAGAGCTCCCCCTCACACCTCAAATCCCTTAGCTCAAGACCAGAGCCTCAACCTTCTGCCCCTTTCTGGTGAAAGGGAGGGAGAATGTGAAAGGGAGGACCAAGTGAGCAGGGTCAGGACCTTGGAGAAGGGGCACGAAGGAAGCTGGGCAAGGATATTTGGGTTTGAGGTAGATCTTACATTGCACTTAAATTGAAAAAGTGATCTTGTGCTTAAAAAGGTTGGAGACCACTGGCCTAGGTGAACTAGTCTGATAGACGTATGGATTTTTGGTCCCTTCCCAGTGTGGAGGAAAACAAGTCTTCACTCTGTGTTTGGTAAGCAACAAGTCAAAAGCAGTTTATTTTGAGCAATTGCAAGGGAAGACTTGGGACGGGCGGGGGGAAGGAGGGAAGGTCCCCCTTCCTAAGCACATCTTCAAAGTAC